GGAAAATTCCATCAGAACTTGCATGAGAAAGAACCAGGAACTACTAGAAAAATCTAATTAGAACTACGTTTTTGGTTTGAAATAGGACTTCAACTTTCCGTCTCCCTTCGACGAGCCGACCTCCTCCACCACATAGTTCGAAGGGAGAGAAGAAAGTAATCAGTCCAGAAACAAATTCTGAACAAGTCTGAGAACAATTAGCTTCCTGCCTGCTATGCCTAGCAACCCCTGCTCTTCCGCATCTCCCGACGAGCCGACCTCCTCCACCACATAGTTCGGCAGATAAGAAACAGCAGACAATCAACCTCTCCAAAACCCATATGGTTAAGAATGGACTTCAATTTTCGATCTCCCTTCGACGAGCCGGCCTCCTCCACCACATAGTTCAAAGAGAGAGAAGATAATTGGAGTCCAATCAAGGAATTGAGAAAATGTCATCAGATCTTTTTTGACGACGCCGTAAAAAGGATACGCTTCCATTGGTCACAGCTTAAACCAATCCCTACCCACTATACCTTGTCTCATGCTGCCTCCACCGAGGAAAATCCCTCGGCCCCAACATAAAACAGATCTCCTCCCCTCCCACCACCTCCTCCGCAACGGCAACCAATCCCCTCCTAGAGGCTGCCTTTGCCCACCCCTTGTCCCTATCTGCCCCCGCTGGGGTTGAAGGCGACCAACTCTCCAACCCCAGTCCCAGACTCAGACAATCCCCAATCTGCCCTACTCCCAATAGGGCTACTGCCTCCCACCATGCAACACCCCTGTAGAATAAGGCTCCCCTATAACAGACCCCGGGGTTAATTTTTCGGGGACAGCTAACTAGTAGTCTATACCCACAACTGGCCAGCCCCATCTCTCCTTCCCCTAGCTTACCCAAGGCCAGGCGGAGCCCAGGCTGACAGTCCTACCGACCTTCCCCTGGCTTGTCCCCTAACTTAGGCCAGGCGGATCTCAGACCTGCTGTGGGTAACTACCGTATATCTATACCCTGGAGTCTCAAAACCCCCCTGCCTACCAAAGTTCCAGCCATAACCTCTGAAGTCCTATCCCCACTACAGCCTCTCTCTCTCTCTCTCTCTCTCTCTCTCTCTCTCTCTCTCTCTCTCTCTCTCTCTCTCTCTCTCTCTCTCTCTCTCTCTCTCTCTCTC